TTGAGTCTTCTTCATGTGACTTTCTTGCATGTCTGTATATAATTTCTTTCACTTTTGCTAACATAGAGCACATCTCATAAATCAAATGTATGCATGATTTATTTGTGTTAGCCACTCTCAACATATCATAAATTGGATCAGTGAAAGCCAAAATGTAGTCTACATTATCCAACCACAAATCACCTAAGACCTTTTATTTAACATACCTTGCCTTCCCAACATCATCTTCTCGATAGCAAGACCACTTCTCACAAATCACCATTGATTGAAGAGCATTTTTAATTTGTTTGAATCTTCTCAACATGATTATTACAAAGGCAAAATGAGTTTCAGCAACAGCTAACATTTTCAAGTGGGAGAAATCATTAAACATTGAAAGTCTCATCAAATGGTTCATAATTAAATTTCTGATCAGAACAACACATCTACAACCACTGTTATCCAATGACATTCAACATAGATGATTTCATTAGTCTTTGTATTCATTGTTGCACAAATATTTTTTAGAGCAAGATTTAAAGTGTGCACAACACAAAGTGTCCAAAATATATGGAAATAAGTTTGCTCCACCAATAATCTTGCAGCTCTACACACCGATGCATTATCTGGAATAACATGCACAACATTTTAAGGCCCAATGATGAATATCACCTCTTTATTCAAATTGGTAATAAAATATTTATTATTGAATTCTCCTTCACAATTCACTGCTTTAATGAACATTGGGTAATTCTCTGTAAAGGCTATGAAATTAATAAGGGGTCTTCTTTGAGGATCTGTACAACCATCACACACCAAACTAACACATTTTTCTTTCCGCACTCCTTTTGTTGGTTCAAGTAATGTCTCAATATATGCTCTTTTCCTTTCCAATAATTTCGATCTTAATGCATTGTAGCCAGGTAGAACATATCCTGCAAGCTTGTTGTTACATGCAAAAATGAATGCATTTTTATAATGAGGATTCCTTGCAAGGTTGAAAGGAAGTCCAGCTGGAAAAAAAAAAAAACATCTTTGCTTTTTCACCATTCAATTCCTCTCGCTGCTGCAAATTAAAAGCCTTCACTAGAGAACTACTGGCAACTCATTTTCTTTTCTTTGTTTCATATCATTCACTTCTAAATGATAAAGCTGGATCAACTCTCACAGATGAGGAAGAAGTGTGGGATAAGCCATGAGTAGATGGCAAAGATATCTCTTTAGGGAGTGTCCTTTGGATCCTAGATTCAACTTCATCAACTTATCTGTTCAATTCAATCAACTGCGACGTAGTAATCTTAAGACACATTTTAATTCCACGACCAAAAATCTTAAATAGAAGTGCCTTCACCCTAGAATAAAATCATTTGTAGGTGCCACAATAATAATTGCATTTGAATAACACATTTCCTCCTCCTTCAAATGTTTTTCCTAACTTTGTAACATGAATCCATAACGGCTTATCAGTTTCTACTGATGGCTCTTTTGAACCTTCACCTAATCCACTCCTGCCAGCCGCAAAGCTCATTTTGTTTTAAAATACAATTGTGTAACAAACCAATCATATATATGAATACATCAAGTTAAATTGATATGAAGTGAAATCAAAATATCCCAATAATACGAAAATATGAATACAACAATATACCGGTCTGTCAGGGGTCCAAGGGGGCAGCGGCAGGGTTCGACCTGACCAGTTAGGTTTCGGGGTCAAGGGGCAGCGTCCCTATGGGGGTTTCCGGGTGGTACCGAACATGTACCGAGCATGTACCTAGCGGTATCGAGCATGTATTGAGCGGTATTGAGCATGTGATGCAATCAAAAATTTGGGAGAGGGACCCAAATTTTTTATCACAAAAACTAGACCTTACTAGGAAATAGAACATTACAAAACTTATAATAATTAGACAAATTAAACAAAACAAAACACAACTTTAATATTATAAAAACTATTACAACTTGGACACTTACAAACGACTCTTACAAATGACTCTTACAAGACACCTAAAGTTGCTTTCCAAGAGAAGAAGGATACAATGGAATGACACTTGCGGATAGAAGAAAGAGGTTAGAAGCCAAGACGAAGGAGGAGGAGAAGCTCGCAAGCTTTCCTAGAGGAGAAGGAGAATGGAACAAGCTCGCAAGCTTTTCCACGAACAAACCCGCAGGTTTTGGCTTCCAAAAATCACTCACATAACCTATTTAAAACAGCCCAAACATCTTACTATATATAGGCATAAGAGGGGAAACTTAACAGCCCAAAAGTTCCTCAAATCCCCAAATAGAAATGAAAGGCCAAAAGCTTACCTTGCTGAAATCCCAAGAGGCACAGCAAAAATCCAAGCAGAATAAAGCCACGGAATCAGCCAGGAACAAAGCAAAAGCCACGGTTTCAGCACAGGAAACCAGGAGGCAAGTTACAGTTCCAACAGGGAATTCAAATCACGGTCAAAAAAGGTGCCTTAGCAGTAAAGCAGGCAGCCAACTGAAGAGGCAGCAACATTCCCGAAGAGAGCAGCAGACCGTGGGAGAGAAATCCAGAGAAGAAAAACTGCAGCAGCCCCAATTTAAGAAGAATATGAAAGAACAAGTTCCATTCATCAAATCTAGCTCCCAATCATTAATTTTATAACTAAAAATCAGCTCATAATGAGCTAATCTTTCACTGGACATTAATGAGCTAGGGAAGTCAAAAATCAAATATTAGGATTTGATTTGACCCCCCCTTGCCTACATCAGCATGTACCTAGCAGTACCGAGCATGTATTGAGCGGTACCGAGCATGTACCTAGCGGTACCGAGCATGTACCTAACGATATCGAGCATGTACCTGATCGGTACCAAGCATGTACCTAGCAATACCTAGCAGTATTGAGCATATACATTAGTTTTTCAACAATGAAGAGAAGAAATGACGAAATCCACTTACAAATCTTGGCTCTCTTGCACGCAAAAGGTGCTCTATTTGGCCTTGATTGCAAACTTTGCCTCGGATGACCACAAAAATCACGCAGGAACGAAGGAATGGGAAAGACGAGCTCTACTTGGCCTCAGCTTGAGCAGAAATGACGAAGGCTCCATTTGGCGTCGGCTGCAAGCTCGCACAGTCCGCCCTAGAAGATTCTTTCGTGGATCGGAAAAATAGGGCTTTTCGTTCGCAAAAATTTCTAAATAGAACGGACGATTTATCATTTAATAACCGGACACGAGTGTCCGACACGCGTGTCCGATTTTAATTTTAATTTTTTAAATTGCGACACTCCAATGCCATGTCGGACACGTGTCCATGCCGTGTCTGACGCATGTCCGTGTCCGACACTGCATACCCTCTTTAAGCGGAGTGTCGGTGCATCATAAAATCTAGGTGCCCAGTCACATAAGTTCAAACCAGGCCTCAACCCAATTAAGATTACCAAAATAGATCAACTTTAAACATTGCATGAACAAAGAATCAACTCCTCTCCAAGCCATCAAATTGCTTGGTAGTCCTGTCCGAAAATCATATTCTAAGGACCCTGAATAGTTTTGGATCCCGACGCTATGTTAAGTAAACATATACATATTTCTAGTTGGAAATACATAACAAATGTTGGCCAATTTCATCATCATTAAAATATGACCAAAATCAAGCCAAAGGAACACAACACTACAAGAACGCCATTTCCCATTCTGAATGGCTAAAAAATTAGAGGACAACTACTATATTCTTCTATACATCCTACAACTTATTTCTATTATTATCAATAAAGGACACCAAATAAAAATCCAATATGATTTTCCCAACAACAAATTGCAACTCAAAGTAGCATAAAGTGGTTTCAATCAAGTGAAATGACAAGATCACATATAACAGAACTAAAGGAACGCTCCAGTGATAAGTAATTATAGGAATTCTATGGTTTTGGAAAATGGCCATCCCTGTTACAGAAAAGTGTTCGTTTGACGAAGATCCATTCATCTCCTTTATGATGAATTTCTAGCTGGAACCCTAAGTTCTAGCCAAATTTTGGGTTCGATGTTGACTTTCAAGTGATTAGTCTCTTCAATTTATCTATCACAAATTTGTTAATTTTCCTTAATAATCTCAATCAATTTATTATTTGTAAAAAACACAAATTCTGTTATTTCTTCGGCATCTAACATTTGTTGGGGTTAGGCATTCAGATAGATTGTAACTTGGTTTGCTATTTGGTTCCTAATTCAATGCCTCGAATGAAATTTATGAATTTCCAGTTAAGTTGTAAAGTGTGATTTCTGCAGAAAAGATTGGTACTATAGCTTATTATTGGAATTCAAAAAAATTTGGGATAGTAAGCAACCAATAGTATTTCGAAAATTTTGTTGTATGAGAAAAGGTTTTGTGATTATAAATAAAGGATACTTGGAGCATATAAAATATTTTTTACAATAATAATTCCGAGTGTTTTTTTGATGTGAATCATTTTAGTATCGTACAAGTGATGCGTGCCAAATTCAAGAAAATGTCATTTCATTACACAAGCATGAGGCTTAGATTTATACCATGGAGTTTCCTTTTTCTTAATATTTTTATTTTTCTTTCTTGTATTTCTAGTTATTAGTCTAACATTGTAATTGGATTTGATCATAACTCATGGTTTATGATTGTAGTGTAATTTTAAATTGATGTGTGAATTTAATCTTAAATTTCTATTCGAGCGACAATTAGATTACCATTTGTGTAAATTTTATAAACTTTTATTTTCAGCATAAAAGATGAACGCTTGTTTAACTGGATAGTCAGTGAACTACAAATTTTGAACTCATGTGTATGATTCGATGCATATATCACATAATTGTATTAGGAAATCATGGGGCTTCCAAAATCGAGTATCACAATTCCTTGGTGCTTTAAGAAAATAAATAATGAAACAAGTTAAAAAAAATGATAAAAAAAAGGAAATGTAAACTGAGAACTTCTAAAATTCTTAATAAAGTAAAAATCCTGCAATATAAAGTAAGAGTTTGAAACCCTCGTATCAAATATTTAAAATAAAGCTAACCTTAGTTAGGTGAGTACAAATAGCTTGGCAACGCGTCAACTCTGTCTCAATCTCATTTAGTTTAGATTCCCTTGATGAACTATTCTCTGACAAATGGATCTTTCCAAAATGACCATAAGCAAAGCAAAGACAAGGGAAACATTAGAAAATACACAAGATAGCATTAAAAATCTAAATTATAATGACAGAAGGTCAATCCATACATTCAAATTAAATTTTCTACACTAGTGGCAGACTCTTCGAACATGTCAAACTTCACAACTTTTGGCAAAACAAAATAAAGCCAAAATTTGGATCACCTGCCATAAAGTTGGATATGCGTAAACTTGACAATTATAATTCAAACCAAAAGTTGAATTCTCCCTTTAGATGATGATTTGTCTCCACTTGTGTGTGCGTAGGTAGGAAATCAAAGTCGTATAATATTTGTTAAGACACACACAAATGCCTCTGAAAATTAAGTTAAGCACTCCAGAAAATGAGTTAAACCCTTACTCATAAATATATTGCAACTAGATTTAATTGTGATGTGCGTTCAAAAATACTCCAGCAAGTATGTGAAATGTTGCATTAAGCCACATCAATACCATAATGACAGACATGGTTGATTGACATAACACTTCACTTTTATCATATATTTCATTATCACACTGTCATATTCATGAAACATCATTCATTTTCAAGATACACAGATAGTTTGATACCATATCACAATAAATCTATTTACTTTCCAGCAAATTTAAGACTGTCATATCCTTAACTGGCAATGTACAATTTAATAAGAGGACATACAAATATATGTGTAAGTAGATAAATATAATAAACTAATATAGATATAGAGAGATGTTCAATTGCCTTATTCTTAAAAATAGGAATTAATAAACTCATTCTCCACTCATCTGGCATCTTTTTAGTCTTCAAAATAGTATTAAAAAGTTTAGTAAGCCAAGTAATCTTATGTTAAGTGTTTGATAATTTATTTAAATGGTAACTAAATTTTATTGGGTCATTATGAATAGACTGCAATCTAAAAACTTGAGTTATTAAGATTGAATGAAATGAAAAATGATCAAAATGGTCCCTTGACACTTTATGAAAAACCAAAATTGTCTCCAACTATATTAAAGGATCATTTTGGTCCCCTCAACTCTTTAAAGATGACTCAAAATAGTCTCACCATGAGACTATTTTCATTATTTTTTATAGACTTCAGGGACCAAGATGATCCTTTAATATAGTTGAGGATTATTTTGCTCCTTCATAAATAGTCAAGGGATCATTTTGGTCCTTTTCTCCAAATGAAATTGACTTCCTTACACTCATTTTCCTACCAACCTAATGTACAAATAGAATAATACTAGGCATCCAAACCTATTCATGTTCCCTTTTACAAGTCATGACACAGCATCACATAGTGCAACTATTCCCCACAACAAGTCCATGCTTTTCAAGCAACAAGCAGATATAATTATTTTATAATTGTAGCATTAATTAGTTATCAAAATTGCATTTGCTCATTTGAAGTTGTCCTCACACACTTTAGTGCATTGAAATTCACAATCTAAAAAATAAGATAAACTAACTTTGACATGATTGGCTCAAGTCAACTTTACAGATAACAAAGAAGAAATGCAAATTTGATTCCAAATTTTGACGCAGAGAATGGCAAACAAAATGTACAAGAATATCAAGCAAACAATTGCATTAGAAATTGTTTTGGATTAAATCTTTGTATTCACCAAATATGCAGTAGAGCTTCATGAAATACTTCGCAAAGAATTGAAGCTTTTTCAATTGATGATATCATTGAAGCCAGCACAAAAGCTATTGCACTTGAGGAAAGAAACATCTCTTTCCATTGGATAGAACACCCAACATGCAATTGGAAACAAGAGAGGATTGAAAGTTTAGCTGCATAAGAGAAATGCACTAGGTGATAGTATAGCTTTTGCAAAAAGCCAGGGCATAAGCTCATCGATTATTGAAATTCAAATCCAAAGAAAAAGCAAAAATAGGAGGGAAGAAAATGATAAAGACCATCATTACTCCAAAATAAGTAATTGAAGTAAAATGGTAAATCTTGTAGCTTCATTGATGTGGCATGCACATAGAATGAGCAAGTTGACGAACTTTTTCAACTTAAGCATTAAAATAAATCTGCCCTCATCAATGCTATTTTAAATCTAGGTGGCGAAACAAATATTATCTCGAAATGATTGATTGAGAAATTTGGGCTAGTTGCTATCAAGTAGGGCTAATATCAAGTCCAGCTTGATTGAGTATAGGTTAACTTGAAATCAAAAACTTTAACTCCAATTCATACCAAACTCAACTCAATCAAAATCATTTGAGGCGAGTTGAATCAACTCAAAATGATTCTATTTCAAGTCAACTTAAAATTATTTTTTAATTAAATATATAAATATTATACATATATTTTATTACACATGATACGTATTTTATGAAAATACCAATTTTTTAATTATAATTTGAGCCGAGCAATTAGATAAAAACTCAATATCTGAAATCAATTGTGAGCCTTGAGTGTAGCTCAAAATTGATTCGAGCCGAGTCAAATAAAGCGAATTTTAAAATTTTTAATAGCCCAAATATCAAGCATTCAAAATCTTATTTGATTAGTTAACTTCAAATAAGGTTTGTTTTGTCAGAAATGTAACCTTAGGTATGTTTTCTCTAGAGATTTTATTGATATAGTCTACGAAGTTATGCCACTAGATGTATGTAATGTAATATTCATCAGTTTACATATGTAGGATAAAGATGCTATTTTCATTAGAAGAAAACAAAAATTGTACTTATAAAGGGGGGAAAAAACAAAGCATCATATGGTTTATTAATCCACTTTCAAAGGAGACAGAAGACCACCAAACTAGAAGATTCCAACAAAGTGTCAAGAACACTCGTTTTAACCAAATGCATAATAAGTACCATCATGGCTGTTGATCAACATCAAATGAAGGAGAATAAACCATTCAAACCTTCTCATAAGGCATTGAAGCAAAAAGGATGAATGAAATAATAGGTCTAAGAGAGAAGAAGAGGAGCTCCAATTTATAGGAGTAAATAACCTAAAATAGGGAGGGAAGGCATGATCTAGGAGGGACGTAAGAATATTTATAATATTGACCTTGGAAGGATTGCACATAGTATAAAAATTCAAATGTGAATGCACTAAAAATACAAAAAGTGCAACTGAAACTTAATAAGAAAAGGGAGAGAAGGAAAGAGGAGAGAGAAATTTAGCTGGAGGAATCAAAGAAACTAACATAAATTTATTCCTCGATTTTTTTCTCACTGTCCTGCATTAGTTGACCACGCCTTAAGTAAGAAATCAAGTATACTATTTCACAGGGACAATTAACAATAATTAACAAAGAAATCAAAGAATAACATAAATTTATAAAGAGTCTATAGAACAAGACAATTCCACTTAGTTGCAAAAACAAACAAGAATACTTCTAATAATATAGCAAATATTTATGCAAAAGGTTTAATAAATTTCTTTAAGGATGTCTGCTATACATTGCATCAAAGAAAAAAATAATTCTGCGCAATTCTTACTATTGAGTTTCAAGCCTACAGGTCATGTAATTATAGCTTAGAGCTGTTATTAATAAATTTATCATACAACACAATAACTCTTGAGTAAAGAACTTATATCCCGTTACATCAATCCTGCAGACCAACCATGAGCTTCACAGAAACAATATACACAAATATTTTTTCCAACATTTTAGTAATTCAAATAATAAGTTGCTTTTATTATATGGATAGTAAAAAGTAAAAGCATGCCAAAAGGTGACCTTTTAAAAATTAAAAAAAAAAATCTGTATCAACAGTTATAAATATATAAGAAAAAATTCCTAAAATCATCCACCACAACTAAATCTTTATTTTTCAGCCATGAGAAAATACCATCTTTTTGCAAAGTTTGACATTACCAACGGGGACACATCAATCTAGCATTCACATACCTCAGGATTACCCATAGAATTGTGATGAAAAATATAGCTTGTACAAATTTTATTATTGAAATCTCACCAGTTTCCAAATTGATCCACTCAGATCATGATCAAGCTATTCACATGATCATAAATATTTAGGTAACACTTCTAAAAAGCGATGAAAAGTTATTTTAGAGAAAACAAATTAGTCAAGTCTGACACAAATTAAAAGTTTTACATCTCAAACCAAGACACTACTACTTACATTAATACGAGCACACCTTGATATCACTTCTATTTAGGGAAAAGAACTAAGTTAGGTCTGACACAATTTAAAGTTTAAGATTCCAAACCAAAATACAACTGCTCAACATGATACCAACACTTCACTAACAATCACGCACGTGTTAATCCACACAGTTATCATAATTTCACACATAAATATAACAGTTCAAAAGCTCTAGCTTCAAATGAATGCAACCTCATCAAATGCTCATGTGATTGTTTGTGCCTTTATATCGCTACTATAAAAGCCACATGGCATGCAAAACTGCAAAATGACAAACTAACATGTTTTCTTCATGTGCAGGCTATTGGATTAAAATGATAAGAGTGACAGCAAGGTATTCTAGGGTCCTTAAATAAACCAGTAAGTATTCACTAGAGTCCTTAAATAAATTTCCTGAATTAATATACACCCTCCAACTAGACTTCCCCAATAATAAATTGACCTAAAGAAAGAAGCCAAACACAAAAAGAATTACTCTTCAGAAGAAAGAGAGCAAATAACATCTCTAATAAGTTGCAACATGGCATTAGCATAAACTTCTTGAAATGCGTTATATGCATTATTTGCTATTTAAAAGTGCTAAAGACATATTTCAGCTTTCGATCTAATTAACCTACGGGTCAAGAAATAAAAAACCAAGCTTTTTTTTTTTTTTTTTTTTTTTGTAGAACTGCTTTCAATACATGAACAAGTCAGTTGATTCGGACCTTTCTAGTAAACCCTATAAAGTTCGTGCAAAGGAAAAGATAACTCACGATTTTATCAACGTAGATTTGAATGGTACTATTTCTCTCTCTAATCTCCGCATCCTTCTGATTCACCAACTCCAGAAGCTGCCGCTTTGATACGTGGAGCTCTGCTACCTCCAGCGAGAGTTTCTCTATCTCTCCATCCTTACCAATCTACAAAATGTGGCCGAGGACCACAAGTGAAGTCAACGATCAGAAAAGATAAAAATAAGAAGATGAAGGCTTAGAGTGCTCACCGCCTTAATATGAAGCTGGTGTTTCTCAGCCTGCGCGTCCGCGAGCTCTGAGAGACTCTTTTTGGTGGATGCAGACAGCTGAGCGTTCTCGTACTGCAGCCTCGTGAACTCTGAGTACAGCGCTTCATATTTCTGCTCGAGAAGAGCGCAGTTCTGCTCTTCGGCAATCGATTTGGCATCGGCCTCTGCCCGGACGAAGTCGAGTTGCTGACGGAGATCGCGAATGAAGGAGTCGGCCCTTTCCGCTACTGTTACGGCGTCGTTAGATATGAGACTAAACTCTTCCTCTGAAAGAAAGACAGGCATCGTGGTCGCCGGAGGCTGCGATCACATACACTGTAGAATTTAGGGTTTCAGTTGGCAAAGCCGGGAACAAGTTGCGTTGCCCGATTGGGAATGGGAATAAGAAGAGGCGGCTGTCGAAGCAGGGAGAAATTATTCCGTATGTAACTTTCAATATCGTGTTAGGAAACATTATTCCATGCTATATACCGTAGAAATTATTCGTGTGGTTTGTCTGCCGATGAAGATAGTCCGCTTAGATTAGACCCGATTTTAATCTGTCTGGTCAGTGCTACCACACCCGCTCGTCTAGAGATGGATAAAAAGGTGAAATGACAGAAAATTTTCACATTTGAAACGCATATTCAGTTTTAAATATCCAATATTCACAGTTTTATGAAGTTCCTGAAAAAAAAATTTCTTACAACTTCCAACATTCTCTTCTATTAGCTCCTGCACAAATGGAGTAACCTAAAAAATAAGTTTGATTTGTTGCTTGTATTCTTAAGTACGATTTTAATCCGTAATAACTGCATTTTTATTCCATAAAATAGATTAATCGTTTTCTCTACTCATGTACTCCATAATAACTATGTTTTTTTTGCATACAAAAGATTGATCGTTCTCAACTTTTTATAGTGTATTAAGATTTTATAAATGCATAATTGTTTGCTGATATTTATTTCCCAACATATTTTCTCAATATTCCTTGCGTATTTGCTGAAACATAAAATTCTAATATTTTAACATAAATAATGTGGATCATAAAAACAATAAACAAGTAAACATACTAAATCATAAAAAACAAAAATATTTAGAACATGAAAAGATTAGTGATTTCTTACTCAATATTGATTATTATGTAATTAATATCTAAAATCTACATACCTTCTTCATTTTTTGCATAATTTTTGCGTAAATTGTGTGTAATTTCTTCATATCTTCTATTTTTTCTTATTTCATTTGTTTATTTTTTTTTAATCTACATCTGTATCAATATTTTAAAGAACAATTAGCATGTTACTTCAATGATTTTTCGCCTATGCTAATTGTGAATGCTAAAATCATTCTAATTTTTTATTTAATTTGACTAATTCATTAGCTAAACTTAATTTTCATCTTATGCAGGTTTGGTTCCTCGAATACACTTCTATTCATGCCCCTAATGAGTATACATATTGATTTTGCATGCCCCAAACGAGTCTAATCATGTTCATGGCAAACTAGTTATCCCTACCCAAGCTTTAATTAGAAAGAATCAAGTAAGCTTGAAGAGGAAGAAAATTTATAAAAACTATGAGAGTTAACAAGAAGCAGAAATCAGACATTTCTAATCCATCTCAAAAAGAACTAATAAATGTTGATCACGTTCTAATAACTATTAACCCTGCAAGTAAAGAAGTGGAATACATTGGCAAAGAGATGTTGAGTAATAAGAAGAAAATTTTTCTAGATGAATGCATTATGAAGTTCACTAATAAGTAAATATTTTCACTATATTATTAACTCTATTTTGTTAATTTTTTAATGTTGATTGACTTATACGTATTTTGTGCTTATTGACTGTGTATTTACTATGTATTTTATACATAATTACTACGCATTCTATACTTATCAACTGCGTATTTTGTTCCTAATTTTTTTTCAGGGGTGATACAATATTTTTTCTGGGAACATTATAATTTGTAGACGTGACATTGACGAATTATTATCCGATAATTATCTTGACAATAATCATATAGATGTCTTCGCCATTTTATTAAATGAGAAGAGTAAACTTTCGCCCAATAAGTATCATAATTTTTTATACTTTTTTTAGCTTTTTCATTTTTTATTTCTTATATTTAGTTCTTGGAGAGTTATAAGAAGAGGGATCCAAAGTCAAATTTGTTAATCAAACATATAACCTATAATTCGATTCAGTTATGTGAAATTCTACTTTAACCAATTATTGACGATTCGCACTGGACCTTTTTGGTTGGGTTGGTGAATGAAAGAAAGTAATAATTTTATGATTCTTTGTCTAACCCCATGCATAAAAGTATTGCTACAAAGATAACAAATTTGATATCAATTATTAATTTTTTTTTTTTAAATTTACTAGTGAACTAAATTTTGTTCCATGTTCATATTAGAATCTTATATAAGGACGTGATAGAAGCTTTTGATAATTATATCAGATAATGGAAGTTTCAGACTGTCAAAGGCGTGCCAACTAAGACTAGCAATGTAGATTGCGGAATGTTTGTTTACAATTGTATGAAAAATATTATTCTTAAACGCAACACCAACTGGACTGATAGTAAAAACTGGCATACTATGACAAAATATATGGTGGAAGTCGCATACGCATTGTTGTGTGCTTCATCAAATTTTTTTTTCATTGTTTTTTCATGTTCTATAATTATTCAATGTACAACATTTTGATTAATTTTTTTGTATGGTTTTTATCTGTCATTCATTAATTTTTCTGTAAAATATAACTTATACATTATATAAAAGAAATTTTTTGTAAATTTTATTTTAATTTTATGGATATTATTGTGTTTAATCAAATACTCAATAAATATGTATTTGTTGCACATAAAATACTATGCTGATACACATACTATACGTATACAAACAAATAATTTGCTAAGTTTAATAATGATGTTGCGACAAAGTATTTTATATGACATTCTTTTTTTTTTTAACTATGTTAGTGTTGCGAGCATATAGGATTAAAATTTTATTTTATGAACCTTAATTATATGTAGTGTTTTAGTCTATATTTCTAATGATAATGTTTAGGGTTTAGGGTTTTAGCGTTAAAGATTGATGGGGGTGTAAAGTTTATAGATCAAGTTTATTGTATGAAGCATAATGTTTTTTAATGTTTAGTATATTAAGATTTTATTTATAATGTTAGGAATTCAGCTTTGTCCTTTAAGGATTTTATTATGTTTAAGCAAATACGCAATAAATATGCATTCTATATGCATTGGGTGCGCATACGGTACGCATACAACATGCATCTCCTTGTTGTTTGGTGGTTTAAAGTTTTTTTCTAAATTTGACAAAGTATTTTATATGTCCTTTTTTTTTTACTTTAGCTATGTTAGTGTTGAGAGCATTTAGGGTGGGAATTTTGTTTTATGAACCTTAATTATATGTAGTGCATATGTTATTTAGGCTATATTTTTAAGGATATGGTTAGGGGTTTAGGGTTCTAGAGTTAAAGATTGAAGGGGGTGTAAAGTTTATTGATCATGTTTATTATATGAAAGATGATATTTTTTAGTGTTTAGGATATTAAGGTCTTATTTATAGGTTAGGAATTCATCTTTGGTCTTTAAGAATTTTGTTGTGTTTAAGAAAATATGCATTCCATATGCATTTGTTTGATATGCATAGTATAATTGTGCTTATATTCTTTGTAGAGGCAAAAGCTCAAATCAATCATTTTCATAAGTTTACGATAATGTTTTTAGTTCTTAGTCTTTAAGGATTTTGTTGTTTTAAGCAAATATGCATACGCATAAGGTAAACATGCAATACACATCTCCTTGTTATTTGGTGGTTCAAATTATGTTTATATTTGACAAAGTATTTTATATGACATATTTTTTTAGTTTAGCTATGTTAGTGTTAAGACCATTTAGGGTTAAAATGTTATTTTATAAACCTTAATTATATATAGTGCCTATATTATTTAGGCTATATTTCTAAGGATATGGTTTGGGGTTTACGGTTCTAGAGTTAGGGTTTAGGGTGATAAGTTTATTAATCATGCTTATTATATAAAGCATAATGTTTTATAGTGTTTTGGTTAGTAAGGTATTATTTATAATGTTAGGAATTATTTTTACATTCATTGGTATTTAAGAATTTTGTTGTTTTGGAAAGTTCGTGAAAGTTGTTAAATCTTTAAGAACTAGCCCGAGGCTAATCAAGAGGGGAGTGAATTAGATATTTAAAAAATTCTTTATAGAAAAAGAAATCTTTTAAAAACCTTTCACATATATTTATGAGAATCGATACGGTGAATGCAAAAATAAGTAAATTTTACAGCAACGAAATAAATCGTATTTTTCAACCACACATATAATTGCTAAAAAATAAAGTGCAAAAAATTTTCAGAATGAATATACTAGAATCTATAGTGGCTCGGTCAACCTGACCTACATCCACTCTTTGGAGACTCCATCCCCAAATATTACACTAAATAGTAGTGTCTCTCTTTTTGCTTTCAAATCAAGGTAGAAAAGCTCGTACAAACGTTGTTTCACCAACCCGGTGTGATAGAGAACCTCAACTCTATTTTCACCCTCCTTGTGATGGTTAGAGAACCACAACTCTATTTTCACCTTCCAGGTGATGGTTAGTGAACCACGATCTTTACTGAAAACTTCTTTTCTAGAGCCATAGAGAATTCAAGCATAAGATTTTAGATACTAGGTAAGATTCTTTATTGGATCAACCTTGTAAATCACCTCATAACTTCTCCCTCACAAAATCTCTATCAATTCTCTCATAAAGCTCTCCTTCTTCTCTCCCTCAAAGCTCTCTCACTTGAAATCTAGACAGCCAAAGATTTTCTAATTGAAGTATTAGAAAACCTTATGTAGTGGGCTTCAAGAAACCCTAACTTTTAATAGTTCTGTCTTCTGTTTATACACTACGATACACATATCGTGCCAAACAATGAGTGAAATTTAGATTCGTTCAGCAAATTCGTGCAGACAAATTGTTGAATCTTTATAACACTTCATATAATACAATCAAAAGATCATGTAATACGAATTATATAAATTCCTTCTGTTCATTTGGAACAACTCTTGGGATTGTTAACTTTGTGTACTATCGATCATCCATCATTGTGGACATCATATAGTACGAGTAGTACAAAAATTGTGGATTTCATTTGGTACGATCTCTAGGATGACCAATTTGGTACATTATCAATCGTATTATATGAAATGTATCATATAGTACAATTGGTGATAATAATTATCCATGATTTGTTTGTCTGATATTGAGGGTTAATTAAAAAAGATTTTAATTAGGATGTATAGTACGAACCAAATCATATTGTGTGATTATCACATAATTAGTATCTTTCTTAGCCTATGGCGACTAGTTTTGACAGAGCACAACATATCGTACAATACAAATTAAAGTCATACAGTATGAAACAAGGTTGTACAATATGAAGACAAAAGCATACATTATAAATTACTTAAAAAGAAACTCTCTCAAAAATATTTTTCTCCATTCCTCTATGTGTGTGCAAGGCTACTCAACAATGATATCCACCTAATTATATGATATGACTCAAGAAGGGAAAATATAGAACAAACTGAAAAATACAAACTATAATCTTAGTCTGCTCAGTCTTGAGCTGATCAAAATTGCAAGTGAATGTTAGGCTGATTTTTTGAAATGTTAGTACACTCAAAATAAAGTACAATATCACAAATTTAGAAGAAAGCAGTAGCATCCATGATAATATATGTTATCATCAAAATCATAGTGCTTGGATCAGGTTTGCAATAATTTCTCCATTTTTTATGACAACAAACATTGTTGTTATTAGATTTTCAAAATGTTATTTTTCTCTAAATTCCCCCTTAGAGATGATAACCAACAGTAAGAAAAAGGAGTGTAATTTTTTTTTTTTAAATATAAACAACAACAAATAATAACATAATAATCTCCTTTTTGACATCACAAAAAAATGAGGAAAAACACAAAATAACAAAACACAAGAATGATCGGCACACAAGTACGAATATAACTTAAAAGAAAGAAAATAAACACAAAAGTACAAACATAAAAAATATGACAAAAATAATAAGAAGACAAAAAAAGAATTTATTTTGGAATTGATTTGCTCCAGTAAATGATAAATTTACCTTATTATTAGAAGAAATGAGCAAGAAATGAATTGACCCACCAAAATTCTGAAAGGTTAAAAAAATCATTCTTGTCAACCCTAGCTCAGGCTCCATATAAATCAAAAATATTTTAAAATAAAAATCTAACTTAGAAAAGAAGTTAGATAGAAAAAGTGATTTTAAACTTCGTGTCAGAAAAGTATCTAATAGAATAATATTATAAAGTAATCAATCATAAGTCATAATTTTTAAATTCAAGTGTAAAAGATATCGATTAACACATGGAGTCTTATAAGATTTTAAAATTTGAAAGAAATGCAAGCTAACTCTTAGTGAGGTCATTTTATGCATCTTTATCAGCTTTTGACGCACATTGTGCATCTTCTAATTTTTGATGCACTTCATGCATCTTATAATTATTTGATGGTCATTTCATATCTTTTTAGTTTTTGGGTTCATTTTGTGCCTCTTTTTATTTTTTGCATGCTTTGTTCCTTTCTAAATCTTTAAAAAAAAATTAATTGTGAGATTATCTTTAAAATATGAGAGTGGATAAACTCACTCTCTTATATATTTAAGAGTAAACCATAAAACAGATTCATATCTATATGATAAATACAAACAAATTAATTAAAAAATTTTGAAAGAGATTCACTGACTTGGAACATTATTCATATGAGATAAATTACTATAGAAACATAAAATAGGTCTTTATTTCAAATTCTAATATTTAAGTTTAAATGAATTTTGTTTCAAAAAGAAAATACACCACTAAAGGAGTTAGAGAAAGTGAAAGAATTATCAATATTTCTTTCTTTAACTATTTTAGAGGAGTCGATCACTGTTTACATGTATAAACAAGGAAAAAAATTCATTTAAAGAACAATAACATCAAAAGTGAGCAGTGATCCGATTCTTAAAACAATGAAGAAAATCAACATAAAATCAAAAGCATTAAATAAGAACACATAAATATAAACAAACATATAAATAAAATAAAATTAATAAATAGAAATAATAAACATTAATTTCAAGCTGAATGTCTATCACACATAATCCAGTTATTAAGATACTAAAGGTTTCAAAAGCTAGCGATTTTTTAAATATATCGTCAAGTTAACTTTTAGTGGCTATATGGTGTAGCTCTATATTTCTTTTGGTAACATGGTCCCTAATAAAATGGTATCTTATGTCTATGTATTTTGTCCTAGAATATTTGATTGGCTTCTTTGAAATACAAATGATACTAGTGTTATCACTTAAGTTTTTAATGATGCTTACATATAATCATAAATCCAATATCTATTGCTTTAACCAAAGAACTTGAGCCATACAACTTGTGTTTAGCTTATGTAGTGAACATGGAAATTGAGTTCTATTTTATATTAGACCAAGAGACTAAGAATTGTCCTATTAATTGACATATTCCAGAAGTGCTTTTCCTATCAACTCTACATCCTACAAACTCTGAATCATAATATCCTATGATTTTAAAGGAAGTTTTATTTCTAGGATACCAGATTCCTAAGTTTTGAGTTCCTAAGAGATATCTAAGGATTCTCTTTACAGCAGTCAAGTGGGACTCTTTTATATCAGCCTAAAATATAACATAGATGCAAACACTAAACATAGTATCAGGTCTACTAGCAATCAAGTAAAGAAGTGATCCGATAATTCCTCTGTATTTCTTTTGATCAACTATTTTTTTCATTTGAATCCTTATCTAACTGAATTGTGGAACTCATGGAAGTGTTTATTGGCTAGGCTTTATCAATTTCAAATTCCTTAAGGATCTCATTAATGTATTTTGATTAAGTGAGAAAAATTTTATCATCCCTATGCCTTATACTAAATTAAAAAAAGTAGGTCAGTTCTCCCATTAGGATAGTCCATCCAAAAACTTTCTTATAATCTCCTAATACCCTAATCAATTTTCCTTCATGTTCTTTTTTCAAACTTGTAGAAATTATAACAGAAATAATTGAATCAATACCCAAAATGGCATAAAATGGTTAGGAAGAACTTTATGGTCTAAAATGGGTGCTTCATCTATAGATGATCCTAAAGTGTTACCCAAAGATGATGTCCCTAATATCTTAAATCTCTTGATTAGTTTCTCTAATAAATTGAATAGATTCTCCTAATCCCTCACATCTTTCTCTGAATCTTCCTCCAATGGATTTATCACTATCATATCTTATTTAAAATTTTTATTAACCTTTTCTTCCATATTAACTCTAAAACTATCTTTATTCTTTTCATTATGGAATTTTTTAAATTTAAGAACATCAATAGTTACTTATTGATCCGGCACTCTCATAATTAATTCATTTTTTTGGACATCAATCATAACCTTACCTATTGCGAAGAAAGGTCTTCATAAGATGATAAGTACTTCCCTATCCTTTTTTCATATCTAAGGTAATAAAATCAATAGGGAAGACAAACCTATCAAACTTAACAAGAACATCCTCTATCACCCCCTTAGTATAAGTAAATAATTTATTAGGATATTGAAGGGTGATCACATTGGGTTGAACCACTCCTATGTTAATCTCTTAAAAATGGATATAGGCATTAGATTAATGCTTTATCCTAAACCACACAAAGTTCTTCTACAAAATTGGTCACCTACAATTACGAGAAAGGTAAAACTAGCATGATCCATTAATTTTTATGGAGCTTCTTTTGAATAAAAACACTGCATTCCTTAATTAAAGCTACAGTTTCAAATTCACCAAAATTTATTTTTTATTCAAGATATCATTCATTAATTTTGCATAGGTGGGCATTTGCTTTAATGCTCCTGAGAATGGTATATTAATTGTAAATTTTTTAAGCACTTACAAGAACCTAAAAAATATTTATCCATATTTTATTTTATCAAACTATAGGAAAAAGGTGGTGGTGGTCTCTCTATAACCTTCCTAATAGGTCTTTCAATTATTTGTTAGGTTTAGGTTGTTGGGTAGGTGGTTTAGCTTTTAAAGGCTCTTCTACACCGCTATCTTTATGAGGTTGATTTTTATTCTTGCAAGGGTCTCATAATTTATTTCCTACTCCTAAGATGAATATTATTATATTGCTATTCCAATTTTTTACCTTCCAAGGAAGACAATTCTTAATACAATTTATTATTGATTAAACTTATAAGTTACCTTATTTGGTTTTCTATGTTTCTAAGGGTTGTAGTTTGATTTTGTAATTGAATTTGTAACTAAATCATCACCTCTTCCAAGGGCGTCTTCCTACCTCCATATGAATTATTTTGATTAAAAAAAGAGGAATAATGATGTGGTGCTAATATTTAATTGGCACCATGATGCTTAATTTTCTATGGTTTACAATAGATTGCTAAGTATTATTCTAATTTTTTTCTTGATTTAATTGGCTAACATTCCATTGATTGTTACCTCCAATTTTATTATTATACCAACTAAAGTTAGGGTGGTTTATCCAACCTAGATTATATGTATAAGAGTAGAAATTATTTTATCTTTTAATGACATTAACATTCTCAACCCCTTGAACGCTATTCTCTTCGATAGAACTTGAATCTTTCTCTTCTAAAACATATGTGATCCATATCCTATACTATCTCCATAACTATCCAATTTTTTAGATATAGCAACTACTTGAGCAGTAAAACAAGATAAGGCATCATACTTATAAACTCCAGCTACTCTCTTAGAATTTATCCTATCAGAAAGCCATTGAGAATCATTTGTTGTCATTTTCTCAATTTATGCATATGTTTCATAAAATGGCTTAGACATTAAAGATCCTCTCATTACAAAATTAATTATTAATCTGAGGGATCCTACCAACCTATTGTAGAAAGTTTGAGTAATCAATCATTCTGGTAAAGCATAATGAGGACATTTCATATGCATCTCCTTAAATCTCTCCCAACTTTTATAAATTGACTCTCCTTCAAATAGTAAAAAAGATGTGATATTATTCCTAAGCTTGATAATTTTGAAAGGTGGGAAATGCTTAGCCAGAAATTTGTGTGCTAACTTATTCTAAGTACTTATAGAGCTCGAGGGAAAGAAATTCAACCACATATTAGCTTTATCCTTTAGCAAAAATAAAAATAATTAAAGCCTCATAACATCATCGTTGGCATTATTATACTTGAATATGGTACATATTTTTAAGAAGCTAGCTAAGTGTTAGTTAGGATCCTTAATATGAGTTCCCTCAAATTAAGAATTTTGAATTATCTGAATTATGGTGGGTTTCAGCTCAAAGTTATTTTCTTAAATAGAAAGTGTACTAATACTCTAGTAAATTCCATCTACTATAGGATTTGCACTCCCTAGGAGGTCTATGGTGATCTTTATCTAAAACTAGTTCAATCATGCCTAAAACTAAAATCTTCTTAGATTTTTTAATTTTTATAAGGGCCCTCTCAAACTCTAAGTCAAATAAGAAGAGATTTTTACTAGATCAACTATACATGCAACAATAAAGAAGAAATTAAATAACAAATAAAAAAACAAAAGTCTTTCTTATAAAAAAAAGTAATATATAAGATACAAGATATAAGTATGGCTAAATATGCAACAATTTCAACAATATAGATCAAAATGTAATAGTTACTTCCCCAATAATGGTGCTAAAAACCTATGGGCTTGTGGATCACGTGATTGTTTACAAATTATGTTTATGTTATGGGTTGAAATATACTTAAGTTTTCTTTGATACACAATATATAAAAAATGCAAGTGCTCATGTTAATCAAGTAATATAGTGATTAAAAGAGTGCTGATCCCATGAGGAAGTATTCTGCTAACATGCAATTAAACTAGTAATGCCTACTACACTATAATGTTTATCTTATCGAACTAAAATAAAGGTTGAGATTCTCTCTCTGCTGGGGACTTCAAAAGAAGAAAAAATATAAGATGATTAAATATTTTTGACTAATGACTATAAATTACCTAAATTTTTCTAAGTAGACTATTCTATATTTGATATAGATCAGAGCATATGCATCCTTCAATCTCTATCAAGCTTATAGAGATGTAAAGGGAAGTTTATAGGCTTCATAAAATTATTATATCTCTAAAGAACCTAAAATGCTAAGCATCTTATATATAGGAATGCAAGAGTTCCATTCCAACACTCCAATTATTCTAATATTTCTCTATCGATGTAATATATCAGTCTAAATTTTAAGTATACACATGCTCATTTAATACATTAAATTAAGAATGAAAGATGTTGAAAGCATCCATTAGTAATTTGAAGATAAGAGTCTATATTAGTACTTGCAAATGATTCACATCATTAGCCTAAAATAAGAAAGTTAGTCAGCCATAGAAATGCTTACATATAAGAGAAAGCATAAGAGTATTAGAGAAATTAGATATCACCTAGATAGTATAACACAATCACCACATTCCTTTCTCCTCTAAATATCTGATTGCTTATAAATAGATAGGTCAACAATCTCCCTAATAAAGTATCTTTTTCTCTTTTTTGCTCCCTAAGATATGACTCTAAGGGAAACTATATAGATCTCACTCAAAATGATAGTACTCATCACTAAAATGAACTAAAAATTATTTATACTAGTACAAAAATTAGACTTAGGCGCTGTAATGCTAGACATGGCGGTGCTGCGATATTACAGAATGAATTAGTGTCTTGGCACTAATAGGCTTTCTCTATTAGGGCGTTGGGTATTTAATTGGTAAATCAGTGTGTCACTTGGTTGATTTGGCGTGGCTCCATCTTTCATCAATTGATCTACTGAGACGCTCCATAAGTTGAGCGATGAGGCACTTGAGTGTGTAATATAGCATTACGATGTTGTGAAGTGTAGCTATGCAGTGCTCAAATTCCTGAGACAATTGATGTGGCTCTAATATTTAGAACTGCGACAATATGAAACACTTCATGGATCATAAATTAAATAACATTTTTCTTGAGGCTCTGGCACTATAGTTTCTTAATTTGGCGCTGAGGCATTGTTAACACTGTGGCACTTCAAGTTGGAGCACAATGATACTGGTTCAATATTTATGAATTTTTCTTCTTTTCTTGAGAGATTCCAATTTAATATCAACTAAAAATAATATTTTTACTAATACTTAAGATATTAAAATACTTCAAATTTTATACTTAATGCCAATGTTATAAGTTTTAAAGTAAGGATTATTCTACCTATTATTAATTATATTTAAGATTATACTCATGTTGAGTTAGGGTTATTAGAGGGTCCATATAGACTTTCATCTACTAACATATGTGTTCCCTTAGTTGAACTAACTCCTAGGCTGTCGAAATTCTTAAAATGGCACGGTGGCACCTACCTAAGATGTCAAAATAGATAGTGTATCAGTTTCAGACACACAAGCAACTTTCTTGGGATTGACTCTATTAGAAGGCCATTGGTGTTATTAGTGGCAATCTCATTGATAAAGCATAAGTTTCATCAAAGGTTTTAGGCATTGATAAACCTCAACAATGATAGATATAATTTACCTAAAAGAGCCTACTAATCCATTATACAAGGTTTGAATTATTAACTAATCTTGTAGTGCATGATGTGGATTTTTTCTAAATCCTTAAACCTTTGTCATACCTCATAAATATGTTCTCTAGTTAAGTAAAAGATGTAATATCATTCTTTAGGCTTGATTGTGTGCATGGAGGAAAGTATTTTGCTACATACTGACACTTTAACACATGACAAATTCCCATTAGTGATGTTCTCAACTCAAAGTATGCCACATATGCAGCACGATCCAACCTCTCCTAATATAATTATAGGTGAGTCATATAACTTAGTGGGTGGCTTTATCTTTGCACTCCTAAGGAATGCCTTAGTTATTGGAAAATTTCCACTTTTCGTTTTCGTAAGTGGAGGGTTATAATCTTTGTGACTAGTGTGATTTGGCGTTAAGATTAATTCCCTAGCTTTGACTCTCCTTTAGCAAGCTACCAAGTCATACAACCCTTCTAGGGTGCTCTCCTTTAGGGTATTTCCCTAAACCCCGTTCTATGCTCAAGGATCATCTATTTTTATTGTCATAACTTTAGTATAGAATCATTAGAAAATTAAGTTAAATCATTCTCATTGTCTTCTATGAATACTTTCTATTGTTCATAAAATCATTTTTAATATCTATTTTTTTATCATATTGAGGTTGCAATTTTTTTGTTTGCATTAAATCCAATTACTATATTGATGATGTTAATTTTGAGTATTGTTATGAGTTTGATTAATGGGTTAATAACTTTTTTTATTTTTTTTATATTCTTTAATAAATAAATTAATAGCACCTTATTTTTAGATTTCAAGTGAATTTAATCATAAAACAAAGCACAAACTCATATATGTTAGATCTTCAACTTGAAATTTTATGATTAAAATCAAAACACCTGATTAATTGACTAAAGTGGCTTGCATTAATATTATTAGTTATATAAAGGCAGTTCATAGTAAGTTGGAGATGAAGTGCGCATGACTATTAAACATTTGGAGTAAAAGGTAATTTCATCATATGCATGAAATTAGAAAATGAGAAAATGCAGTCATTAAGGCAATATCTAGTTTAAATTAAAAAGGGGTGGAAAGAGTATTTAATATAAAGGTTTTGAAAATATTGGTCTTTCGTTTAAAGTAAAAAATGAGTAAAATTTTGAAGTATTCGAACTTCTTCATAAAGTTTAATTTTGGTATATTGTGAATAGTTAGATTTAACATATTTTCAAATATAATGTAAATTTGATGCTATTGCTGCTACAAATAGCTGTAAGTTGTTGGTGCTTGTCACTTGTTGATGCTGATGCATGCTCTACTAGTCAACTGCCATCGCTACCCCTAGTTGCCATAACGAGAAGTTGCTCGATGTCGTTGGCAAACCTTAATGCCACTGTGGCCAGTAATTGGCCACTGATCACCACTATCATTAGATTTTATATTATATTTATTTTATTTAATTAAAAAAATCCTACATTTATTTTAAAACTCATCCAAATAATTCAAAATTTTCAAATACGCTATATTAAATTATATATATATATATATATTAATTTTAGCATACATTCATTACTTTTAAACTTTACAATATATTTATTTTATTTAAAAAAACTATATTTATTTTAATCTCATCTAAATAAATTTAAATATTTTGAATAGATTATATATATTAATTCTATTTTACCTGCATTTTTTTCCCATCAAACGGCCCTAGAATGGTTAAAAACTGGAGAAATGGAAAATTTACTTTGTCATGCTGCCCACGGTACTTCGTAGCTCTTGCTTTCCCGTTTACAGCAAACCTATCGTCACTCTCTTCCTCCCGATCTGCCGCCGTTTCTACCACTTATCCGCAGTTTGCACTCCGGTGACACCTCAGATGGACGCTTCCGACGCCTCCGAGGAGACTCTCCGTGGTGTTCTAGCCGAGAAGCAGGCCTCCGTTGACGCCCAGGCTGGCGTCGTGCGGAAGCTCAAGGCAGAAGCCGCTGCGAAGGCGGACATAGAAGCCGCTGTGGAGTCACTCAAAGCCCTCAAGATCGAAGTCTCCGCCGTGGCGAAACGTCTCCAGGCTGTTGTCAGCAGCAGTGGCGGCGGCTCTGGTGATCGCGAAGCTTTCCGCCAAGTGGTCGTGAATACGCTGGAGCGGCGACTATTTTATATACCCTCTTTCAAGATCTACCGAGGCGTCGCCGGCCTCTACGATTACGGACCTCCTGGCTGTGCCGTAAAATCCAATGTCCTTTCCCTCTGGCGCCAGGTGGAGTCTTTAAATCCTAGTTAATTGAGTTAGTTGGGTTTAGGATATTCGCTCATGAAGCCGATCCAGTGTTCTTAGATATGAATTTCAGCAGTGATTACACTTATTTCCTTTAAGCTTGGCGAAGATGCAATAATCAAATTTGGTTCCTGCCAAAAAATAAAAAACAAAATAAAAATCTGCAAAATTTCCGTTGCAGGAAGTTCTTTAATGGGTCCGATGCACATTTTGTCCTGGAATTGGAGGATGCGTGTCCTTGGCTTTTACAACAATATCCATCTTTTTTTTTTTTGAACGAATAAATTCCATGGTTTGTCATGTGAAGAATACTATTAAAACTCAATTTGCATCTTTTAATTGATTGTGGCTTTCAGTTGTCGCCTTTAATGAGAACGCTGCAGTTTATCTTTTTCTTCTACTTTTTAGCATTTTGTCTTGGAGGAGAACATGCTCGAGGTGGATTGCCCCTGCGTTACGCCAGAGATAGTCCTGAAGGCTTCAGGACACGTGGACAAGTTCACAGACCTAATGGTTAAGGATGAAAAGACAGGATCATGCTATCGGGCTGATCATTTGCTTAAGGACTTTTGCAAGGAGAAACTGGAGAAAGATTCTACTCTTCCATCTGTGAAGGTAGCTGAATTGAAGCATATTTTGGCGGTTTTGGATGACTTGTCTGCAGAGGAACTTGGTGCAAAGCTGAAGGAGTATGGCATCACCGCTCCTGATACAAAGAACCCTCTCTCTGATCCTTACCCCTTTAATCTTATGTTTCAAACTTCAATCGGTCCATCTGGTTTGAGCCCTGGGTAAGACATATTAGTTCATTAGTGAATAGCTTGTTTTTCACTCTCCCTTGAACACCTAGTGATTCTGATGATTTTTCAATTGTAGGTATATGAGACCAGAGACAGCACAAGGCATTTTTGTAAATTTTAAGGATCTTTACTATTATAATGGCTATCGACTTCCATTTGCAGCAGCTCAGATTGGACAAGCTTTCAGAAATGAGGTTTGCATTTCTGAGCTTTCTCTTACTCTCTCCCCCCTCTCTCTCATATATATATATATAATATAATATTATATATATATATATATATATATATATATATATATATATGTAAGGAAAAATACTTATATTTATTAGTCAGAAGAACCACAAGATGGAAGTCCCATGGAAAGCATAGACTAAGCACAATCGAACGAACAAATATACGTCCTCTAGCCTGACGTAGATGACGTTCGCCCAATAACATGTCGCCACGTGCTCTTACTCTAAACCGCGCGGCCGCCGAACTTGACCCGGAGTGAACCCAGAAATCTATGTTCGCGATTTCTCGGTATCTCCGGTATTGCTAGTATTGCTTTGTAAAAATGAGAAATACCGCTCCGTGAAGACCAATAACCATGCAAATACCGAGTTGTACCGAGTTTTTTTACAAACTCGGTACAAACTTGGTATTTTCGCTCAGAATTTGCTCGGTATTGTTAGAGATTTGCTCGGTATTGCTAGTATTGCAAGAAAAAACTCAGTACAAACTCGTACAGACTCAGTAGTTTGCTCAGGATTACTCGTATTGCTAGGTATTGCTCGGTATTGTTAGAAAAACTCAGTTACAACTCGGTACTTGCTAGAAAAAACTCAGTACAACTCGGTATTGCTAGAAAAAACGTCAGTACAACTCGGTGCTATGTATTTGCTCGGTATTGTTAGAAATAAACTCAGTACATCGTATTGCTCAGATTGCTCGGATTTGCTCAGGATTTTGCTAGAAAAAACTCCAGTACAAACTCGTATTCTAGAAAAAAACTCAGTACAAATCGTATTGCTAGAAAAAACTCAGTATTTGCTCAGGATTTGCTCGTATTTGCTAGGATTTGCTCGGTATGCTAGAAAAACTATTATTTCTACGACCTCAACGGCCAGCGCCAAGCCGAAGCTTCTCTGACCCTAATCTCCTTCTCCATTACGTTGATCTTCCCACTAACCTTTCTCCATTTTTTCAAGCAAAGTCCGAACGCCTAGCCACCTCTTTCAAGCCGAAGGCAACCTTTCGATCCCTTCAGCACAAAGAGAGAGAGAGAGCTTCTTCCCCATACTCTCCGACGTCATTCCCTTCTTCAGGATGGAAAGTTACTCCATTTTGATCGCAAGCAAAAACGGGAGCTCGCTGTATCTCTCTTATACGCGGTTCTTCGGCCAAATCCTTTGGGAGAGAGAGTTAAAAAAATGCATGTGCGAGAACCCAAAAAACAGCGGGTCGGGTCGGCGTCTTTTCTTCCTGCTACGTGGCGCTAATACATTGGTGGCCGAACGTAGAGGAACGTACGTTCACCGGACCAAATAAAAGTTCCAATCGAACTCACTCGTACTTAGTTTCTTTTAAGAGGTAGAGAGTGCACCTATTTATAGACGGACTTTAAACCGGACTCAAGATCATTCAATAGAAGAGATAAGATAGAATCATTTTTTACCAAAAAATTAAAACAGCTACTTTTCTATAAGAGATTAATTTTAAGAAAAGCTAGGCCCCTATTGAACACCTTTGAAGTGTCAACTTATCATGTAGCTGCCAAATTTCTATCTGGAGGAAGGGAGATCATAGTGAGGGGCAATCTCGCCCTGTCGCACACTTGTTATTTTAAGGGCAATGGGGAAGGTGGCAACCCACCTGAAGAAGTCCTGCAACTAGATGTAGAGCGAGGCCCAGGGTTGGAGATCATGGAAACAATTGAAGAAGCCCTAGCAGTGGAAGGCAAGTCAAGCAAAACCATCAGAATAAGCTCTTCATTCAGTGAAGAGCATAGAGGAGAACTAGTACAAGCCCTTTGGAATGGCCTAGTACAATGATGATGGTCCTAGTTTTTAAAGACTGAAAGGGGAGGAATGTAGAGGTGAATGTTGACTATTTGTTAGTAAAGAGCAAGTCGCCTAGGCAGCACATAGAAGACTTGAAGGAGACATTCTTTGCCCCCAAAAGATATAACATGTGCTTCAATCCACTGAAATATATTTTTGGTGCAGGTTTTGGAAAGTTACTAGGCTTCTTCCTCGCCTTTAAAGGAATCAAGGCGAACCCTCCTAACGAAGTGAAAGCAATTTTGGAGATGCCATCGTCAAGGATAGTTAAAGAAGTGTAGAGACTCACTGGGCTCAATCATTTCATCTCTAGGTTGGGTGAGAGGTGCTCGCCATTCTTTAAAATGCTAAAAAATGCAAAGAAGCTTGCTTGGAGCAAGGATTGTGAATCCACCTTTTAACAATTCAAGCTTCCTCTCTTCTTGTTGCCTCTACTCTAAAGTCCTATGTTGAGCAAGGATTTGCTATTGTACCTGGCGGTGGGCAAGGACACTATCAACTCAGTATTTGTCGGAGAAAGAAGAAAGAAGTAGTAGCCAGTGTGCTATATGACGCTAAGGGGAGTAGAACTGAGATATCAAATTATGGATAAAATCAAATAAAGTGGTGACCTCAACTAGTCTACTGTGATCATACTTTCAAGCCCATCTAATACAATTCATCACTGACCATTCCTCAAAGTTGTGCTCGCCAGGCCTTATCACTCATGGATACTATTGAAGTGGTCTATGGAGTTGAGTGAATTTTAGATTATCTACACCCCAAGAGTTGCCATCAAAACCTAGGCATTTGTTGATCTCTTTGCCTATTTTAATGTTCAGGGCGACTAGTAAGAGGCGTAGGCTCAGTAAGAATACTAGAACCTCTATGTTGATGGGGCCTTAGGCAAACAAGGAGTGAGTACAGGCATGTTTTTGAAAAGCCCTACATGAATTGTTACGACACAACCCTCTAGCATTGAATTCAAGGTGACAAGCAATCAACTAGAGTATGTGGCCCTACTTACTGGCTTGCGACATGCCATAGGCCTTGCAGTGACTTAGTTGATGGTGCCTTCTAATTCAGAAGCAACTTAGACTAATGCGCACCATTAACTATAAATACTTGACCGTCGAGTTCTCACATCAATTTGATGCGAATCCCTTATAGTTGGTGAGTTTAGTTTACCCCCATGAATACTTTAAAGTCTAGTGTAATGTGAGACCCACTAAAGGTGAATACTATTTTAAAGTCTAGTGTATTGGAGATTGATAGTTTATGATTTAAACTATGGTATTCAGGTAGGAGTCATATTAGAAATGGTGTAGGTGTGATTATAGGTAAGAGTTTGAATGATGATATTATAAACATTAATAGAATTGAAGATAAAATTATAGTTTTAAAAATTATTATTGATGTTAAGATTGTTTATATTATAAGTGTTTATGCTTCTCAAGTTGGTTTGTATATGGATTCAAAATTAAAATTTTGGAATGACTTAGAAAAATTAATACAAAAGATATATCTTGAAAAAAAAGAATTTTTATTGGAGGGGATTTAAATTAATATGTTGGTAGAGAGATAGATGATTTAAAAGCATTCATGGTGGCCATGAGTTTGGAACGACAAATGAAAAATGTAAGACCATATTAGATTTTATTGTTAGCTTATAATTTTTTAATTGCTAATACTTTATTTAAGAAAAAAATGAGCATCTCATCACTTATAAAAATGGTTATAATAAAATTCAGATTAATTATATTTTTATAAAAAAATTAGATCATTTAAATTACAAAAATTATAAAATTATTTTGAGTGAAAATTTATGTACCCAACATCGATTTTTAGTTTTGGACTTTAAGATAAAAAGTCAAAATAAAAAATAAAGTTAAACGATATTATAGGATTAGATGGAGGCATTTAAAGAATATTAACAAAAATATTTTTAAGAGTAAGATTTTAGAATTTAATATTTTGTCTATGTATGAGGATGCTAGTATTATGTATGTGGGGAAAAGTGGCTAGTGATATTAAGAATATTACAAAAGATGTGTTTGAAGTATTAAAGGGAAAAACTCTTAATAGTAAAAAAAGTTGGTGGTGGAATCGAAATGTGTAAAAAAAATGATTTGTTATAAAAATTAGTTTAAATGTAAAAATTCTTATAATTGAGATAAATATAAAGAGGCACGTTAGGAATCTAAGAAAGCAATATGTGATACAAAGATCTTATCTTTGATTTATATAAAATGTTAGATACTGAGGAAGGAGAAAGATATATGTATAAGTTAGCTAAACAAAGAGATAAGAGTAGTAAGGATTTTGTTCAAGTGAAGCATATGAAGGATGAAGATAAAAAATATTTTTCTTAGTAGATATTCAATAAAGGTGGATGAGATATTTTGCAAAATTTTTTAATAAAGAATGTGAAAATATGATTGCCTTTAGTGAACTTAGCACCTTGTATGAAAATAAAGTTTTTTGTTTTTATCTGTGTTTTAGTAAAATCGAAGTTAGAGAGGTTTTAAAGAAAATGAAGTGTGGAAAAGTTGTTGGACCTGATGATATTTCAATAGATGTGTGAAAATGCTTAGGACATAAATGAATTTCATGGCTTACTAAATTTTTTAATACTGTTTTGAATACTAAAAAGATGTCAGACGAGTGAAAAATGAGTGTGTTAATTATTATTTTTAAAAATAAAGGTGATGCACAAGATTGTGCGAATTATATTTGAATTAAATTAATGCGTTGGGAGTGAGTTATGGAGCGTAGGTTGCGGTGTGATACTAATGTTTCTCAAAATCAATTTGAATTCATGCTGGGTAGGTCTACTATGGAAGCATACATTTATTGAGAGGTTTGTTGGAGAAATATAGAGAGAATAAGGAGGATCTACATATGATATTTATTGATTTAGGGAAAGCATATGATAAAGTTCCAAGTGAAGTGTTATGGAGAATTCTTGAAAAGAATGGAGTTAATAACGCTTTTATTGAAATCATTAAAGATATATATATATATATATACAGGAGCTATTACTTGTGTTCAAACAGAAGGTGGTTTGACCAAGTATTTTCCTATTTCGGTTGGATTACATCAAGGATCTTCTTTAAGCCCATATCTTTTTGCTTTAGTCATAGATTTTCTCACTAAACATTTGTAAGAGGATGTACCTTGGTGTATGCTTTTTGCTGATGATATTCTTCTTGTTGATGAGATTAGAGAGGGAGTTGAATGTAAACTTGAATTATGAAGGTCAACCTTAGACTCTAAAGGTTTTCGTTTAAGTAGATCTAAAATTGAATATATGGAGTGTAATTTTAGTAATAATAGACATAGTTAGGGGATTGTGACTTTGGATGATCAAGTCATTAATAAGAGTACACATTTTAGATATCTTGGATCTATTGTTTAGAGTGATGATGAATAGATGGGGATATTATCAGCAGAATTTAAGTTAAATGGTTGAAGTGGAGGAATGCATCGGGCTTGTCGTGTTTTAGAAAAGTTCCCTTTAAACTCAAGGGAAAATTCTATAAGATGGAGGTGAGACCTGCAATGCTTTATGGTGCCGAATGTTGGCCATTAAAAGAGAAGCATAATACTATGTTAAGTGTTGTAGAGATGAGGATGCTCAAGTGGATGAGTGAATTTACCCTTAGAGATAGAATGCGGAATGAGCATATATGTGAAAAGGTTGGAGTAGCTCCAATGGAAGATAAGATTAGAGAGAGTCGCCTTAGATGGTTTGGTCACTTAAAACGACAGCCTTCCAATGAACCGGTTAGGATAGTAGAGGTATTAGATTTTACTTATGTTAAGAAAGGTAGAGGTAGACCTAAAAAGTCTCAATTAAAAAATATTAGAAATGATATTTCTTTATTAGATTTAAATGAGATTTTGACATTTAACTGGACACAATGGAGAAAAAGGATTCATGTAGCCGAGCTCACGTAGTGGGACAAAGGCTTGATGTTGTTGTTTTTGTTGTAAGGGCTCCTTGGTTCTGAAACATTCTTAGCCAAGGTTAGTCTCAACCGGGCTATTACTTGTCCTATGCATGAATTTGGGCTATCACGATCATGTCCATCAAGTTTGTCGATCCAAATTGGTGCAAACTTGGCTGTCTTCAATGTAGTGCAGAAAAGGCATGCTCAAGTGGGTTAGCCAAGTTCAGTTGGTCAAGTTTAAAATGAACTTGGTTGGCCGACATGCCAAAGCATGGCAACAACTATTTTGATGAAGTTTCAGTTTTTACTAAGACGATTGCTTTTATAAGTATGTTTAACTTGTTAAGGTGATTTGAGACTAAATCTTAGTCAACTTTATATATGAAAAAATTAAATTGTCTAAGAACTCGAGTGTTTTCAACACCCGATTCACTTTAATTTAAACCCAAAGAATGGATTAAGTTTGACTTGTTTGACTATAACTTTGTTCTCAACAAGTATAAAGGCACTATTGAACCTTGTGAGATGGATTTCCTTAGTCATTCGTGTATTTCATTTCCATTTTGTTAATTGTGTTCATCTAGTTCTCCTGAACAAGCATTCATTGTAATTTGTAGCATATAGTGTGCTAGTAGGGAAACCTTTCTTAAACACTTAGAAGAGAATATCTGTCTGTACTTACTGAAGTGTTTGAAATCATCAAAATAGCAGGGAGCTTAAAAATTTAGTCCCACCTTCGGTTTCAACAAAAAAGCTTTTATAGAAAAGAAGGCTGTCATTAATTGAATGATGGAGTTGTATTGTTTTTCAATTCATCTTTGTTTCTTTTGACTCTGCTATATCTGCTGTTTGTGTGCTGTGGAGCCTTAATTCCCAACCTCTGTTGTTTCAGTCGCTCGCAGAAGCAAACTATCTTAACCATCATTTAATTTGATTTTCTCTTGCCTTTCTGTCTCTTTTATTTTTCACATTTAATTGTTCAAATGTTTTTTTAATAGAGTGCAAAGTATTGGCATTTCATATCATTTACTCAGCACCCAATGCAGTGGTTCAAATCACAAAACAACCTCTTTTTGATGTAAGTGAGGGCTGCATACATCAACCTGCTGTCCATCCTGATTTGATATGGTTTAAGTTGATACTTTTATTCTAAATTAATGAATTATTAAAATATATTTCATCAAAAGATAATGGCTCAGAAAAAAAAGAACTATGGAATCCTTACAAAAGGTTCCATCTTTCAAGGGAATTAGGTATTCGAGGAGGATAAAGAGTTTAGGAGTGATAAAATAGCTGAAGGCTGTGATTTCACCGTACTATTTATCGGGCTGTAACAATAACTAGTGAACATTTGGAAATATAATATCTTTATTATGTGATCTATTTTGATTTGACAAATCCTCAAACTTAATTCAAACTAAATAAATCAATCTAGGCAAAATGTAAAGTATAAGCCAAATCTAACCTAAACAATCTAATTAAAAAAATTGTTTTAGCCTGTTTGGTTTGGATTTTTGGACTAACCTTTTTTTTCCACACCTACAAAAAACTGCTTCAGAAAATAAGTCTATTGGTACGTTTCTTGTTAGTACCAGAGTGGTTGCATAGATGCAGCAACATTTGCACAGACATTTATACTGTGCAGTAGTTTGAATTGCTTTCTCACACAAATAAGTCACACTTGCTCCAGATTTCACCAAGGCAAGGTCTGCTGAGAGTGCGAGAGTTCACATTGGCTGAGATTGAGCATTTTGTGGATCCTGAAGACAAATCCCATCCAAAATTTGTTGATGTGGCTGACTTAGAGTTCCTTATGTTTCCAAGGGAATTGCAATTGTCTGGTGAATCAGCAAAGCTGATAGATCTTGGAGAAGCAGTTAGGAAGGTTGGTTTGTTCTGTTATTTCTTTCCTTTATTTGCTGCTATGTTTTTCCCGGCTTTTGTTTTTGATGTTATCTGATTTCCTTGTAACAATGCCCTAGGGAACCATCAACAATGAGACTCTTGGTTACTTCATTGGGAGAGTATACCTCTTTCTGACTCGCCTTGGTATAGACAAAGAACGCTTGCGTTTCCGGCAGCATTTACCGAATGAGATGGCTCACTATGCTGCAGACTGTTGGGATGCTGAGATAGAGTGTTCATATGGATGGATTGAATGTGTTGGAATCGCAGATAGATCTGCTTATGATTTACGTGCTCATACGGTAGGTTCGCAAATTATTTAATGAAAAACATAGCAATGCCAGAATTTTCTCTCTTCCTGCAGGAAGTTGAAATGGTGAAATGGATTTGAAATGATAGCTGATTGTATGTAGTATTATCTTTTTCCCATTTATGTTTATTGTATTGAGTATGCTCCCATGCAATCATTTTTTTCCTATTGTCTAGCATTTCTACTGAAATCATTGAAGTAATATTAAGTTATTGTGCAAATTAAATTATTTTAACAGGATAAAAGTGGTGTGTCATTGGTTGCTCATGAAACGTATCCAGAACCCAGAGAGGTTGAGGTGCGTTATTTTTGCTTACTTCTTGACCTTGCCTTTCACAATCAGCTTTCAAACTCTTACTACATGATTATCTCTTAGAACATCGTTTCGAATTTTATTAAAGTAATCACTATCTCACTTCACAGAAGATTATGCTTGTCATTGATATTATTGTGGCATTTATGAATTCAGAAGCTAGTGATCACACCATCAAAGAAAGAGTTAGGTCTTGCATTTAAGGGCAACCAAAAGATGGTTGTTGAAGCATTAGAGGTGAGTAATTTGTTTTCAACCACAAATCTTACTGCAACACGAACCTGCCACTGGGCAAAAATAATCTTAAAGCTAATTTCTTGCTTTATGAATAGGCCCTTAACCAAGCTGAAGCTTTGGAAATAAAAGCTGCACTTGAATCTAAAGGAGAAATAGAATTCGAAGTTTGCACACTAGGAAAATCAGTTATTATAAAGAAAAACATGGTCTCAATTAGCATGGAAAAGAAGAAGGAACATCAACGGGTCTTTACACCATCTGTTATTGAGCCTTCGTTTGGTATTGGACGGATTATTTACTGTCTCTTTGAGCATTCCTTCTATACAAGGCCAAGCAAATCAGATGACGAGCAACTGAATGTATTCAGATTTCCTCCTCTCGTAGCTCCTATCAAATGCACGGTTTTTCCTCTGATCAAGAGTCAGCAGTTCGATGAGGTAGCCAAAATCATTGCGAGATCTCTGAGGTCCGCTGGGATTTCACACATTATTGACATCACTGGTATGTAAACAAGAACTACCTCTATGAACTGAAACAATATTGAATCCTCTAGTATGCTGCTTCAACTTTCACCCTTCGTTGTATTCATTTGGAATTCTGATGGATGGCATAATTTTTAACCGTCCTGATGTACCGATATGTATCAAATTCTTAAGGATTTTCACTGGTGCTTAAAAATTATGAAAAAATTAGTGTAACTAAAATATACTATGGCGAAGATAGTTTGCGATTTGGAGTTATAATGACTCTAGAAAAAAAATTGACAAAGTCAAAATACGGGCTATTACACCTAATCTGTGTTAATGTTTCAATATAAGAGATTTAGGCTTCATTTGGGACAGCTTTCTTCCTACTTCTTAAAGCTGTTTTCTAATACAAAAATTACATAATTAAAGCCGCTTTAAGAAGCAGTAAAAAAGACATCCCAAACGAAGCATTAGGGGGAACTTTTGATCAATTTTTCTCTATACTGTAGGTACATCGATAGGAAAGCGCTACGCAAGGACTGATGAGATTGGTGTTCCTTTTGCCATTACTGTTGACTCCACTTCCAGTGTGACAATACGTGAGAGAGATAGCAAGGAGCAAATTCGTGTGAGCATTGATGAAGTGGCTTCTGTGGTGAAGGAAGTTGCAGATGGTCAGAGTACCTGGGCTGATATCATGTGGAGATTCCCAACTCATTCTGCATCACATGTTGATGACTGAAGGCTTAGGTCAGTTCATCATTGGGTAATTATAAAATCGAATGGCTAAACATACTTCCATCTTTTTCCTATTGTATTGCAACAAGCTGCCTTTTTGCCAAATGACAGGATTAATTTTGACACGTGGCACATTTTTACAGAAGTGCTTTTATTTTTTATTGAGGCTTTCTGCAATTATAAAAAATCATACTTTAAAATAATTGGTTATGATTATTCTTAAAGTAGCCTATTCTTACATGCAATTGGAGAACTTTGAGTGCCCTTTCAGAACTTTTTTGATAATTTATTTACTGGTAGGAAGTTGTGTTCTTATTTCTGTACCTCAATTGCAATGTGTTCTTTTTTATCTTAGGCTTTATTTGGGACGGCTTTTTTGATTACTTCTTAAAACAATTTTTTAGTATAAAAATCAAAGCTAATTTAAGCAGCAGTAAGAAAAACGGTCCCAAACAAAATTTTAACCTTAATTAGAATGCCTACTACAAATTTTATAGATTAACGATGTTTATTTTTTCAGAATTTTAACTTCATCCCTTCAAAAAATTTCAGGTTGTGAACATAAGATACTGCAATCTTGAAAAATTTTGACGGTGGAGCCCTTTTAAATGTATCTTCTTGGAATTCCTTATATATCAAATAGACCTTTGCTTGTTATATACTATGCTTAGCCATAAGATGTTTTGTTCTTTTGGATAGGACAGTATGAAATTTAACTGTTTCTAATTAATTTTTTCGTCTTTAGAAGGCTTTCAATTATTATAGCATCTTTGGCCCAAAATCCTTGATTATTTTCTGCAGTGGGAAAATTATTAGGTGCGGACACCAGACGTAGAGATACGTTCGAATATCCATTAAAAATTTGACACGGTGTGCATTTTAGTTGCGCTTTTTTGTGCGCTTTACTTGTGTTTTACCTGCGTTTTATATGCGCTTTAGTTGCGATTTTGGCTGCGCTTTTTACTACGCTTTACGGCTTTACCTGTGCTTTGGCTGCGCTTTTGGTGCATTTGGCCTAAAGTTTTGCAGACACATTAAATATATTGAATATCCACGTGTCCACTCCACGTGTCGATATTTTATTGATGTCTGGACTAAGTTTACTAATGTCCACATGATTGATTTCATTCTTTGAAAAAATTTTCTGATAGATTGTGTTTCAGTTGAAAGACATCATCAAGATGTAAACTAAATTCCAGTTCAAACATAATAATAAGCTTATTAAAATTATATAGTAATTATATAAATTAGATAAATAGATAATCTATACATAATAATTAATTCATTTCAATAGCTCATAAAATAATAAATTTATATAAATTCAATAATTATCTTAAACTCAAGTAAATAAGAAATAATTATATGATTTCATTAAATAGTTAGCTTGAAGTTAAGAAATTAATTCTTTTGTAAATAGAGCAAAAAATAAAAATATTATAGAAAAGTGGAGAAGAATAAGATGAATAAAAAAGGATTATATATATATATATATATATATATAAAATAGCCTCTCCAAGCTGTTCTTCTTGACTCCTCCTTCATATAGTCTGTGGAGATGCCAAGGAAGATATTTGCATCAACTTTATAAAGATAATAATAAAATATTTGATGTAGTCTAATGATAAATTTTTATCTAAATCTAAAAATAAATTTTTATTCATAATTATTTTCTTAACCAAGTTTTTTTAGGCCTACAATCTATCTCTATTTTTTTTTTAAGCATCACAGTCAAAATAGTACGTCTGCTCTCCTAACCGGAACATGGAAGGTCATTATTTTATGTGACCAAATTCAACCTTTCACATATATGCCATTTCTCATGCAATTTTGATTTAAAGAGTCAAAGTTGTGTGTTTTATAATGTAACAACATTTATTTTAATTAAAAAAAAAATTGAAGAATTTTTTTTATGTCTCCTTTATTCCAGTACTTAGAGTGTAATTGCTAAATTTGTAATGATCTGAGTGTATATGCATTTTAAAAAGTTGATCGAGTCGTGTAATGCCTAAAACTTGTTAATTACAAGTTTTAAATAAAAGTATAATAAACCTACAAGTATGAATACTGTAAAAGAAAAAAAAAAGTAATATTTATCTTTTTGGAACCAAACAATAAAAAAGTCTGTAATCAACAAATTCTTTTATTGATACGATCTAATCGTACTGTTCGAACAAATATAGAGTTTATTCTGGACAAACCACATTTGCAATAGTACAATCCAAGTTCATTTGAGTTGACAAACATAAATAAAGATCATATTGCTACGATATATTGCACTATACCATATGACTTACTCGAGAAATGTGCTTTAATCAGCGATTTAGGATTTATTTGAAAGCTGCTAATATAAATACTTATAACCCAAAAATACAAGAAGAATGTGAATGAGAATTTAGAAAGAGAGAGAGAGAGAGTTCATCTAGAGAGAGATCATAGATATATATATATAAAATTGATTGTTAATTTTTATAATTTTTTAATTAATAATTAAATATAAAATATTTTAATAATTA